CAGGGAGACCAATTTGACCGTTTTAATCTAATCCGATGAAACTTAACCATCCGTCTGCAAACTTATTTGTATTAACGTCGTCTGTATATTGACTCATCTAACTTCTTCTAACTTATTGGGTTTTACAGAATCCCCCAAAAAATTCTTGGATGCTCTTACTAGTTTCTACAATATCATGCAATAGTTTTTATTGCTACACATTACCTAAACATTTTTAAACAATACAAAATACAAACAAAAATTAGGAAAACAAATCTGTTCTGAGACTATCAAGTGTTTATTGTTAATTAACAAATCTGATGGATATACCATCAGACTTTAGTACATAACTAACAGATGAGATCTTTTACAGAAGTTTCTGTCAACCATTATAAAAGAAAGCAGATACAAATTATAAAACAGAATTTCAGCCATGATTCTGTGAATAAATAATTCATGGCTGAAATTACTGTTTCCATATAGACAGTGACGAGTTGAAGTCTTGTCTTAAAAATTCATTAAATCGCTAATTTTCAATGTTTATTTATACTCTTAGCATGCCTCAGTTGCTTACACGATTTACAATATATCCTACGCTTATGAACGCGGATATGCTCCCAAATAAAACACCGCAATATTTCTCTTTTAGTACGTGATGTGTTTTTGGAGTTTTCGAAATCTGCAAACTTATGAGATATCCTAAATACGGGGCATGCATGTAAGGAATCGTACGTGACCCAGCGTACTTAAGCTTAGCTACAAACAAAATTCATCCGAACAAGCTATAACCAATAAACTATGTCGAATAATTGTTACGTCCGGAACGGTACACGCATTTTGTCTGATTACTTTCATTAATATAAACGAATGTGTTAGAAAGCTTTTCGGGGATTGAAATAAATGATAAATTATAATAATAAATGAATTGCTATCGTTTAATAGAAATGGAATTATGTCATTTAAAAGTTATATGAAAGTGCGCAAGAAATTCACTTTGCGTTAGCAGTTTTAGCTCGCATTTTGCTGTTTTCCCTTTGAACTGTGGAAATGCAGTCTCTCCTTGCTATTTACTTAAGTAATTAAATAGACATTAAAGTAGCATTTAAAATAATCAAACGTTGAAGGTGAGATATAATGAAAAGTTTTACTTGAATTCAAAATTTCCCTTCGCTGTTTACTTTGCGAGACTCGATCAATGATTCTCATTCCTGTTCCCAAGGAACTTCGAAGATTCTTGTGAATATTGTAATAAGAACTTGTTTCAAATGTTCAATATTAAATCTATATGAAACTTTCTTAATCTAATATATTATAATATTAAATCTATAACAGAGGTGAGGAATCTTTTTAACACTAGAGGCCACATTCAAATTAGGCAGTAATAAAGGAGGACGCACGTTCCCCACTTCTGGTATATGACATTTTTTATTCAAATAAAAATAATTGCTAAATACGTGATCGAAGTTCATTGAATACTTCGCCGGACGCTCTGTACATATATAAATCAATGTATCACAATTTAATGTCTATAGGCATTACTGTATAGGCGCATTGTTTGAACGCATCACACCCGGTGAGTTGATCAGAACTCGATGTTACATATCTTTGTCTGCGTGAAATCCGCGTATCCGTCGATTTGTCCGGGTAAATGCTAGCAACGACGTTACCGTAACTGCGAAATTGTATGCAATCGACGAGCCCAATCGATTGTCCAAAATCACGAAATATGAATATGAAATCTCCGGTCGAAATAAAGGAGACAAAAAGCACAATCACTTCTAGATTGATACAATTTTACGAAAAGAATTGATAGTTCATCCAGCAAATTGCAAGGAATTTTAAAAACACAAATAAGAAACCTATAGATGTGCAAAATTGATATCCTATCCAAAAATATTTGAAAGTATGAATGCGATATCTGGAGACAGTGGAAATAAAGAAGACGAACAATAGAAAAGTATTGTTTTGGTAAATCACTTTTGGATTGATACATCACTACGTACAGAATTGATCGACTGAGACGATCCAACAAATTCCTATAAACATTCGAAACGCAGTATCTGCCCGACGGTTGTACATACAAAGTGTTATCTGTATTTTCCTCGAATACTCCATTTCGAGGGTGCATAGTTTCGTCGGCCGCTCGCATATTTGTCGACACGATAGCGTATTCAAAAGCACCTCAGAGCACTAGAATTCCAGGATTTGCTCGTCGTTGAAAACAACTTTTAAATCGAACCGCAAGACGTCAACAGGCTGTTTGCGAGCGACATTGGGGACCGCACATACAACACCAAGCACAGAGAGAGAAAGAGAGAGAGAGAGAGAGAGAGAGAGAGAGAGAATATGTACAACTCTTTGTGGTATCACACACACGCTTGCGGAATCGCGTACGTGTACGGTCGCTGGTAACATCGACGGAATGCAGGGAAGTATTTACATTGAGCCAAGTGTTTTTTTCTCAAAGTTTACCGAGAGCCAGACATTGTTTCGTTCCCGTAGAAAGCGGGTCAAGTGGCTTTTAGTCCGACTCAACTTTATTGAAAACGTGTATACGGATAATACCGCCGGATAATCTGGAATTCTTTGATGTACGTATGTACGCGGCTTCGTGCATTAATTAATGTTAGTTAACCGAGCGTCGGAACAAAAAACGGAATTTCTCGAGCTTTGTAGATAAAAAACACGTGCTCGTTATGTGAGGATGATTAAAGGAATAGCGCGTCTCGTGTTTTAAGTCTGGGAAACTGTAAAAAAAGGAAAATCAGAGGGATTGGAGGGAAAGCAGATATTTTTGCATTACGGACACCATTCGTTCTCTGTCTGCGCACATATCTCTTTGTAAAGGGAAAAATATCGAGATTTCTTGCGTCTCTCGCACGAGTAACGGTCGCGGTAGTCTCAACGATATTTCATGATCACGGAACGACTCTGTTTTACGTGCGCTGATTCGCATAAAATCACGACGAAAATCGCATCGCACCGACCGACAAAAAGATTCTTAGGTAAATCTAGACGGAAGTCAGTTTCACCGATCTCAATAATTTTTTTATACATCCTTCAGCTGGCGATGCTCAACAACTTTTCCCGTTATAGAAATTCCCGGTCGACATTGGTTTCCGAGATATTCGCGGAAAACTCTTCTTACGTTCTGCATTCAATTCTATGCGTTCTTTTCACAATGCATGCCGACAGCTATTGATACTCCGTTGTTTAACTTATTTCCTATGGATTAGGAGATGACGAGTAACATACATGCAGTCCTCTTCATTTGAATAACCTCGAATATAATAGTGTATAGTGCATAATTGCACTAGCATTGAAGCCAGTATAGTATCAACAGTGTCTTATGAATAACTCAAAAGCTATTATCGACCGCTGATATTCGTAACAAACAAACTTGTTCAGTATGATGTATCCAACAACATATAAAAAATCTAATCCGGTTGCTTGATCTTTATCTGTACATTGACTGACCTCTACAGAAAACATTTGATGCAACGTCAGTAATGCTCATTGATAAAAATTCCAATTTTCCAAATTCTCTTCAAGTCTAGCTCGATATCGATCGAAGTTCGATACAGTAGCTGACCCGAATCCGAAGAGTCACCCGCCGTTGAAACAATCTTAGTACACAAAGAAATGAAAACGACTACATCGCCGATTTGTGGATCTGACTTTCCATTAGCGAAATAGCGTTTCTCCCTTCGCTCGGGCGCCAGTTTCAGATACACTGTACCTTCTCTTGTCTTCCTACCTGTTTTCCTCCTCTATTTTTACTTCTTTTCGGTTCGGTTCCCTTCATCCCCCCTCCCCCAATATCGGTTGTTTTCTCAGAAATTAGGTATCGTGTTACGGAACAACGAAAACATCGTAGAAACATTTGAGGAAGAAATACGCAGATAATGGGACGCTATTATGCTCGATAAACAATAATGGAACTAACAATTTTAGTCGAGTTCCCTATTACGAAATAAAGGCCCACTATTACCGTGAAAAACGCGTACTCTCCCATATTCTCGTTGCAAGAATAGAGAAGCTCATCGCGATGTCAATTATGTATTTGGTTTGTACAGGAGAAGGCAGTGAAACGGTAAAGTAAAGACCATCTTCTATTGGAATTAATGGTCTGATATACATATATATGTACAATATCAATGATAAACGAAAGTATTACCATGGCAAGTATTTATTGTCGTTTTGTTTCCGGAGTTTGAATTTTTAAGTTAAATATCATTTATCATGTGTATTAACCAAGTTTATAATAAGAACGCTGTAATTTCATAAGGTAGCGTAACATTATTAATCAGTATGGTAATTGCAGTGTTGATTAATCTTGTCCAATAAAATTTGAAATATAATTATTGTAGAAAATAATGAATTTAGGTGAATCATTGCAGTGTTTCATTTTCGGTTAATAGGTTTCGACCTATTTAAGTAAAATGCTCATCACCCTACACATTGTTATATACTACTTCCAATTATATTACAAGACAATACTTAATTAAGCCATCAAATTGTACGCCTCGTTGACTCTGATAATGAATATTTAATTACATTTATAATGAAATGCATCCGGAATATTGAAATTATATAATCATTTAGAAGTGTATAAGTATATAATAATTAATAAATTACATCAATGAAATTCATATAACCTTGTTAGAGTTGTACGATACGCGTATAATTATCATGTGTGTTCCCCTTTACATTTATTGGGTAAACGGAATCTTGTTTTCTGTTAGTCTATTATACGGTATACAACGCAAGATACGTTGTGTATATATCAAACTTATTAAATATTATAATTGATAAAATAAATATTATTCGTCCAAACTTCGTCCAAATGATTATTACGTTTACTCTTAACACATAGGTTTAAAAAAGTTCATCTAAAACATAGATCCAGAATTGATATTTCGCATTAATTTCGAACGGGATTTTGCATACATAACCTTTCCAAGTCTTGGATTATCCAGATTCAACGCCAGCCACATAATGTATTTTAGAATTGGACTTACCTAAATCCATTTAAACGTTTGGCACCGGTGCATTTCGGAGTAAAGTCGATGAATTCCTGGGAGGATGTTCTCACAACGTGTGCAAAAAGATGTCCAAGATAACACCACCCAATTGCATACAAAAATGTTCACGCATCAAGCAAAATTTTTTACTCTCACATTCACGGATTAGAGTACGGTCTCGCGAAATGTTACTTAACACTCACAAACTGAACACTAAAATCTATCGATGCAACGACATAAGCGATCAAAGACGAACGGACTTCCAAACTTAGATTATGTCACGTCAATCACTATGGTGTACGGGTCGAATTTCATGTTTCACCGAGAGTCACTTGCCGCATTTATTGATGACGGAGTAAATTACTTGTGGACAACGTTCAACGCGAACCTTCCTGCCTTTGGCACCGCGTGCGTCTCGATAAAACGGTCCGGTCGTAAACCAACTGTAATTGACACCTGAGCCACTTTCTCGCAACTCGTAGCGCGACGATAAGTGTCGGAAGACAAGAACAATAAATCACTGTCAGTTTCGTCAGCGGTTATCGGAATATTCGAGACGTGTTGTAATAGACACGCACACGGCGTGGGCCGCCCTTTAAACGACCTCGTTAATCGGCGATTCTCGAGACGAGAGAACAACACCCATTTGAAAACCGTGCGCGCCGAGAATCGGGCGGTGACTGAAACTCACTGTCCCGACTTGCTCGCCAGGGCGCCCTCTCTTTCGCACTTCGAACGCTCACCCCTCCTGCAACTTCGCGTTCGTTCTCTCTCTTTTCCGTCGACAATGAACGACATCATCTTTTTCTAGTCGCCTCTTCGTCTCCCTGGCATTTTGTTGGCTTCTCGCTTACACTACACCCTCCGAATCCTGTTTAACTACAATCCTCTCTGTCCTTTTCACTACTACACCCTATCCGTCCCGCTCACGCGTTTGGATCCTCTTATCATCCTTACGCTCCTTGCATTTTGTCCCTTCTCTTTCGTTCCCAGTGACTCTCCTCACTTACTCCTCTTCGTTCATCTCCGTTGGTAGCGTGCAACTCGACGTAATCCATCTTGCCCCGTCGCGTAACCACGCTTCAGGACACACGTCGACGCCTCTTCGTCGCACACCGTGTACGTCAGGCTCGTGTGTGCAGCCTCTGTCTCTGTTTCTCGGTGTGCACGCGCAAGCATCCAACGGGCCTGCGAACGGTGCCACGCCTACCTCTCCTGTATATGTGCCACTGATGCGAGAGAGGCGCCTAACCTGGAGTTTCCTGGAGATGCTCGAACTTGAAGCTTTTTTCCAGCGACGCGGCCTGCATGCGAATTTGCTAGCTATAAAGATATGTACCCGCCATCCAGTCACCACCAAGGTTTGAACTCTGTTTTGGGGCATATCTTTTTTTAATTTGTTTTGCATAATCTGATAATAGAGGGAATACAAAATATTGCTTGCCAGAATACATTGGTATAGAAGTTATGAGTCGTTACAGTTTAGTATTTGTAACAGACTGTATTGCTTATTTTAATGTAACAATCAAGTAACATTTTGTTATCTATTAATACAATCGAGGATGATAGAGTTTAGAAAAACTGTCTTTGGTAATCGATGATACGTTTCTACATATTAAAATGACGCAGTAACTAACTACGTGCCACCGTTATCGCGATGGAATATTACATGACGCAACAGTTGCGTCAATGGTCTTGAATGTGTTAGAGTACAGCTAGTAACAATGAAACTGAGGTAGTTTGCACTTGTGTTAGTTTCCCTAAGGGGGACAAAATTCGAAACGTGTAATAAGTCTACGTCTTTGACGCGTCAAAATTGTGTTAAAGTCGAACAGTATCGATGCCAGATCGAATATTGAAAAGTAAGATGTAGACTTATTACTCATTTTGAAGTTTGTCACCCTAGAGGAAACTAATACAAGCCCGAGCTGGTTCAGTTTCATTGATACTAGCTGTACCTTCTCTAGATATCTTCGAAGTGCTCCGCAATCCTACGGCGACCGGCATTACAATGGCGGAAATTGCGATTAACTATTTAAATGAACGCTTATCTATGTATTCATTTCTAACATATGTATCATTATTATGCGTACATATACGAGTACACGTGTAACGAAGCCACGCAATGACGATACGCAACGATGATATGACACAAGCGGATACGGGCCAGTCTATGACATTTTAAGTATCAGCTGGTGGCACAGATATTGTCATACGAATAAAATTAATGTACGTTCGAGGCTATAAATTTCAGTATAAAGTCACTGCAATAAATAACTCAAGCGTTTATTATAGAATGTATTTGCTTCTCCGGTTTTACCTTCGGGTTTGAAACGAATATGTAAAATACCACCTTTGATGAAAAATTAAACCGTTTTACATCTCATGGATTTCTCCTCCTTTAATCCTTACTGCAGTAAATATATTTAAGTATACGCGACGTAAAGAGTCATAAATTTTTTATTACGGCGCGCTTTTTAAGTTTATGTAAAATTCATTCCACTACTATTTAAAATTGAACCAGCAACAAAGGAGCAATCGCATAATAATTATTCATTTCCCACAGTTATTTGTTCTTCATTACAACTTTCGGTCCTTCATAGCAATGGTAAACGTTGTTACCTTTATTTGAGAAAGAAGTGAATTATAGTTTTCATCTTCACGTTCTGCGCTTACATTATTCCGTAACTGCTCTTTTCTTAACGAAAATTGCATCGCTTTAATACTTCAGGACACAAAAGCCAAACACTATTCACTGATCTCGTCTGAGGCTACGGAGTTCAGAGGTTTTAAGAAACAGAGCGCATAAGAAGAAATTGTTCCGACAGTTTTCGCCAAACGATCATGCCGTTTTAAGATCTCAACACAGTATATTCGTTACGTCATCGTTCTCACGTACACTACATTACATGCCATTCTTGCAACGGAGAAAACACTTTTACAAGATGTAATAAAAACATTGAAATACGAGTACAATTATCAGTTGATGCTCACAAAGTGGAGTAATCTAATATTCTTCAGACATAGTATCAACTCATGTACAAGTAGAGAGTATCCCTGCGACAGTAGTACAAACCCGCGTATGATCAGACACGCTTACCGTCCAGTTGTTTCGGACGAAGGCTCTTTCTTTCCTTTGTTTTGAGAAAGAAGGATAAAATTATAGTTATCGTATAATATAAGTACCGATGTCTCGCGATGTGAATCGCACATGAAAATCGCGATTCCTGTATCCCCGTGTGAAAGACCTCTAACGACTTAACGCGGCCGACGTTAAAATAATAGCACGATGCAAGTTTGCATGGTAGCCTGTTTAACCGTGGCAACTTTAAGGAAGAAACGTGATAATTGGATGCCTGTTAATTCTCAAAGAATTCCGTTGCTCACGGAGGAGAAAGAGAGACAGACAGAGAGACAGAGTGAAAGAGCTACCTCCCGCTTCTTCTCTCGGAGCAGCTTGAAAGTTTGATCCAGTTTCTTTTCCCTTCAGCGGGAAATTTAATTCCGCGTTACGCGTCTTCTCTAAAGTTGAACAGTTTTACATCGCACACGCGCTCAGTATTCATAGAAGTTTCGGAAGCAGAATTAGTCTTCTGACAAGGGCAAGCTCGCTTGCAACGTCCCGCCTCACAGCTGTCGTGTCATGCAAGAATTAGTATCACCGACGAAACACGCCACATTTCTGTTCACGCTGTTTCACACCAGTGAACAAACCGTGCCCTTCGGGGGTATTATGCATACATAAGGCATCCCGTGATTTCTGAGAAGGTTCTGTGGGATACCGCGAAATGATATGAACACAGGCAATAAGGATCTTCGTATACAGTCGATATCTAGTGTCTTTGACGTTATTGTAAAAGATTGTCAATCGACGTTTCGAAAATATATTCTGATTGTTTCATAATAAGGGAGATTAGTGATCTCTTAAACAGCCTTATCAGCTGATTCATAATAAATATCTTGTATTTGTTGGATAAAGATTTACGATTATATATACTTTGATAACATTTTTCGACACGGTGAAGATAGTAGAATCGTTAGGAATTGCGTTTATATCATGAATTACAGCAAATTTCGCCAGACAAGAGAAAAACATTAATAGGCAACAAATGTTTTGAATAAAACTAATAATCTCGACGAAGTTGGAGTGCCAAATTTGCACAATTTCACGGGAAACAAATATCCATTGAAATCGCGGTCGGACCGTATCGCTCGCAAACTAGCTAGATAGTGAACCCCCCGTGGCAACTATGCAAAGAATTTTCAATTTCCACCTATGGTTCCGCGTGTAGCTATCGATGCGATGCTTTATTCTGTATGTATACATATACCTTACGGCTTTTTATCGGACTCTATTAAGGACATTTTTTAACAAACAATCCAGAAATGCAAGTTATATATAAACAATAATTATTTAAATATCTCATAACTTCAGTCACTAAAGAGATCGAAGTAAATTATACACTTTCCCTTTTTTACTCTTTCCCACAAGAATGAGTAGTGTCTTAATCAACGAGTCGGGCGAGACGAGAGAAGCCGATGTAAGGAATTCTAGCACGGTTGGAAAACAATGGACAATTAATGCACGCCATTCGTTGAGCACATTCCATGAGAACTTACCTACGGCGCGCTGCGAGTCCCTTTGCACGCTACCAGAAGTTGCACAAAGGATGGGTAAATGCCACGACTGCTCGGGCATTCGCGTAGTCTTGATTCGTTTTTGAAAATGAACCCTTTGACTGCCGTCGGTCATACGTCTACGGAAGTACGAGAATTCCGTACATGATTATAAGCATTTTCATTACTGCGAATCAATTCATATCACACTGCTTTTCTGATTCTCATTGCTTGCAGATTATTTAAAGTGGTTCCATACCAATGATGAGCATAATAACTAGTTATACATACATTCTCTACGAGATCTCCACGATCTGAAGAAATGATGCATGCGAAATAAATTCTATTTTAGTGTATCTAACTAAGTGCTTAACGATCCACTTCATACGCTATTTGCTCATATCCAGACGAGAATTTGTCAGTGATACTAATGAGAAAATCACTTGATGTTTTTCCGGCATTTAATAATTCGTAATTTTAATTAATCCCATCGAAGAGTCCAGTTCTGTTAATTTTTTGTTCAAGTAAATATTGTTTTTCGAGACTAGAAACTAAAGTTACGCTTTCACGTAGCGCTTGGTAGCTAGTCATGTTTTTTGGATAACACGTTATCGAAAGCTGGCATTTCCCCGGACCATAGATAACCACGGACCAAAAACCTCGCAGGAACTTCTGTTCCGTTTGTACGTGTTCAATTTCGTGCAGACGCACACGGTGGCCCGTGAATTTCGACTTGGACCTATCCGACATAAAAAATTTACATAACCGCATAAAACCTACGCGATCTGTGTTATTCAACGATTCGGCAGACCAGACACTGAAAATGGTCGAAATCCGTGGAACTCAAAAGACTGTTAGGCCCTACTTATACGAAAAGAGAACCAATTACTTTTACGCTAGAAGTTTGTTTCTATAACATTACCCCAGATTAAACTTTTTTTAGGACCTTCGTTGTTTAACTTTGTTTTTGCATAACATAATGAAAGAAAACACGCCAAAACGAAGTTTAGCCTTAACCCGGGTCTATCGGATAGCAGCATTAAGCAAGAGTGA